AATCAGTCATGGAGCCCTATTACTTTTTCACAGGGATAATACTATGCGTTAGGAAAAAAATGGATAATAATCAGACTTCTTTGACAAAAGAAGTGAAGTTTGCTTTTTAAAATATGGAATTCATTAGTATTAGTGAATAGCCTTATCATATTTCTTTTAACTATTAATGATTTCCTCATACTTGGTTCCTCAGTTTTCAAAGGCTTTAGAAGTTACATAAAAGCAGGTGCACGATAGAAGACCGGGCATTGTGGAGGTGTTAATACGTGGCAGATTTTTTTATAACCTAAGAACACATATTTCAGGACTCATTATCTTGTCTTTTCTTTTGATGAAGTGATTTTTGATTGACTATTACGTTCCAAGGAAATCCAACACAAAATATTTCAGTCACACAGTGACCAAGACTCCTCACCTGGACAGCTTCTTGTCCGGTTGAAAAAGATGGAAGAATAAATGTGTTCCCAAATGTCTTCTCAGGGAAGAACTGGGTGAAATGCAGTCTCTGGTGTGCTACACAAATGAATAACCAAAACACTAGGACCATGATAAAGGCATGGCACAACTCAGCTCTTGGAGTTGATACCTGCAGAAAGAGTTGTAAGTTTGAGTCACAGGTGGCTGCAGGATGTGCAGAGGCCATTAACATAAACATTCTCCAGTGATGCTAAACATGTGTGACGTGAAAATCATCTTTAATTGTAGCTATACAGAAGCCTCTGTGCACTCACCTATGATAAACCAGACCTTTCATAAAAAAATATTGCTCATATAGGTACTAATCTGTGTTCAGTGACAGCACAACACTTCATCTACATTTATTTATTGAACACTGAGATAGGCATAGTGTGTTTCTCTAAAAATTTCATGAATGTTAATGACAAGGAATATCACTTGTAGAGTGCACTCGTGCCTAGGAAAATATAGAAAAGGAAAGCCAATAAAGCATCATGTGAAAAATATTAGCTTGCTGAAAAGCTTTTTACGGTTTGAATTAATTTTTAGTTCAGCAGCACTTGTTAAACTATAAATAGATAAATAGTCTCTTGCCTTCCAATACCTTTTTTCCTCTTATAGTGTGCTTTAGAAGTCTTCACATTCAGTGATTTTTATTTTATTATATTTAGTTAACACTGCAGGCTCTCTTTCAGAGAACTGCTTTGATAACCGGCTGTTTTATCTCAGTTCCTAGTGCGATAAAAGCCAATTTGCAGTCACTTACTTTATACAAAACAATGCAAAGTACAAGATATTTTGATGATAATAGCAACTTTAAAAAAGGATGACCATCTGCCTTTATTCAGTTCTCCTGCTTTCAGTGTCCTTTAGAGCTCCACTTTCCCTATGGAAAGATGAAATCACAGAGATCATTTTCAGTCCTGTCAGCTGTGATGATGTGGTAACCATCTTATAAGATAAACATATGGCTGGGTCTTAAGGGCTTTTTCAAACTGGGAATCCAAATATAGGCTGCCAAGTTGTGTACAGAAGCATCTGCCACGTCAGTTCCCCATCACAACGCCTCCCTGCATCACCAGAAAGCCTGAGCTGGTGCCTGCTCTTTTCCAGGTTGGCATTTTATGGCAAGAACCAGCCACAAAAATGTGGAGCTGTGTATCTGAAGGCTTAACTTTAGACTCCATAATCTGAATGTTTTAGGAATAATTTGGGGCAGATGAGACTCATCCATCTGGAGAGTTCCAGCAAAATCCCAGCTGTAAACTGCAGGGTGAGCATGGAAGGATCTGGAAGTTGAGCAATCTCTGTGTGGAATAGGGAGTGATTATTTTGAGATACACTTTAGTCCCACTGGCAATTCCATTCACAGAGTCCTTATTGGGCAGGCCAGGAAGGATCTATTCATTCTCTGATTTATTTTTATATATTTCCTGGCCAAACTGTTGTCCAGTCATCGTATCTTGCTTTATTTTGGTTCTCTTGCTTCCAATGACTTCCCTCCTAAGGAGCGCTGAGCAGGAATTGCCCCGTACATGGGTCTGTAGCAGTTCCTCATAGCTAACCAGAACATTCACAATTTCAATCACTTGATTTTCCTGCTGTTCAGTGCCCCTGCCTCACCGCTTTTGTGAGGAATGTTGTAATTTGCCTCTGTGAGCTGTTATGGCTTTTACTGGAGGTTGACTTCCTTCAACCTTGAAGCATTGGGTGGGATTCTGGTAGTGGGGTTGCCTTGCCCATGGCTTCCTTCTACTGGGGGCTCTGAGAAGTGAGGTCTGTGCTTAAGAGAAAACACAGCCAAAGGAATTTGCAGTTGACCACTAACTTCCTCATAGCCCCTCATACGAGAAAGACCCAGACATATATAGAGCTTAATAAGGAATTTTTCTCCAGGTAATCAGCACAATTATGAGAAACTTCCTCATTAAAATGTTTGTGAAGACAACTGTTTTAGTTGAAAATGTGCATGGTGCTTGTGTGCTAAAATCACTATTGATTATTTTATGTAGTAATATTTTTCTTTTAACTATGTGGGTTTCTTTTCTCTACTTGACTTTTTTGGTGGTCCAAAAGCAAGGCCTATGAAATATTTATCAAAACAAAGGCTGCTGATTTTTATAAACTTTTTGTTTTGAAGCAGAACATGCCCCCCATTCCAGGAAGTTAATTTACCTTTTCTAATTGCATGGAACTTTCCCTGAAAATCAGAGGAGGACGTGTAACACAGAGAGATCCATAAAGGTCCAGGTAGTTAGATTTATTGCTGTTTGTGAAGCCATTTAACACTGTTCAGAGCAGTTTTAGCTCATCAACACCCCACTGGTGAATCTCAAAGTATCCATCATGTTTATCTGAGACAGCCTTCTGCGATGTATTTTCATTTGTTCTTACTTAGTGTTTGCACACGCCCTTTGCTTTACTTTTTACCTTACTTTAAAACTTCAGTCATTTAGTTCAGGAGCCAAAACTCTTTTCCTCCTTACCCCATGTACTACTGAATAACCAACTAATAAACAGGGAGTTAGCAATTCCTGAGGTATTTCCTTCACCTAAGCTAACTGTTGAATAGGAACTGTGTTCCTAGCAATTGGAATCCCACTGGAAACATGCCTTGAACAGACTTAAAGCTGTACCCATTGCAATCAAAAGAATAATAGATAAGTAATTGATTTTAATAAGTTACTCCTCTACACGGACTACTCTAAAACTTTAAAATAAGACATTTAATAAACATGAAGGGAAAATAATTTCAGTAGCTGGATTAAAAAAAAACAGACAACAGCCTTTACTCACACCTCTAACATTGTCTGGAAAAAAAAAGAGTCTTAAAAATATTGTGATTAAGTATTCAATTAAAGAGTGCAGAAAATAATTTTTCAAAAATAGATCTTTATTAGCAGTCTGGTTCGAGAACTGGATATTCACTTTGATTAGGGTTTTCCGTTGAGAGGAATAAAAATTTTATTTCACAGGTTACAAGTTAAAAAAATATGGAAAGTGATGTATTTACATTACAAAGATGAAATTGAGTTACAGTGGCTAATAGGATAAGTGTTGCAAGTTAGACATTAGAAGAAGGATATGAACCCAATTTACCAGGCAAATTAACTTTGTTAGAGCACTTGAGCTGGTGCAAAGATAACAGCATCTTTAGGAGACAAACTGCCTGCCTTGCTTGTGTACTCCAACATTTCTCTAATGATTGTAAAATTCTTTAGGCAAGATTTTTTCACCCGCCTAAGGGCACAATATCAAGATATTGATAAATATGCAACAGAAATAGAATGAAAGCTGGACTCAATGCTCTAACTCTTCATATTCTAATATCTGCTGAAGCAGTTCTGGTTCTTTTGCTCTGCCTAACTAAAATTGTGCCCCTGCATGACATGGGTGCCACTGATTTGAAAAAGGAGCTACTCAGTATTTTCAGGACTTGAATAACAAGCCCAGAGAATCCCTTAAAAGATAATGTCCTGGAAAGCAAAGTGGCAGATAGAGCCTGTCCAAACTGAAGGGGAGCTGGAGCCTGTCAGCAGTGTCCATCTGAGGCAGGTCGGATATGGACTGAAATGTGTTTGGCATCTCTTTCCTCTTTGATAATGAGCCGTACTGTGTTTCACCACGTGCCCAAAGATTTCACAGTGCTTCATACAGGTAAGGTGAATGGTGTCTGGATACAGTCAGGCACTGAACAAGAGGATCTTAACACGCTTGTTAAGAAGGTTAACACACTTGTGCAGAAGGTTTTCTGCTATTTCCAGACTGTTCAGTGTGAGAAAGGGAGGTGAGCTTCAATGATGTACCCAAGGTTATGCCTCAAATTAGTTACAAGACGGGAAGCAGTCACAAACAATTCCCTTCTGGGATCGTGGGGCTGATCTGCCTACCTAAAAATGAAAGAAAGCCAGTCCTCTGCATTGAGCAATTTAAGCCAATTTGTATTAAACAATTTGTTATGAAATTGGATTTAAAAAAAAAAAAAAAAGAAAAAATAAAAACTTTGTGAAGCTAGACTAAACAGTGTTCACAGCATAGTGGTCGTCCTTTGATGTGACACTTTAGAGGACCTGAGGCAGAATGTGGTTTTTCTGTGCAGTTAAATAAAAATAAGGCTGTGAAACTTCTTCTGATGCAAAAATCCAAGACTGTCTTCAACATCTAACACTGAACCTTAAAATTAGCATACCTGAATGTGTGCAGACAAGTTGTGTTCATTAATTTTAGCAGCATCTGTGCCCATTTACACCAGCTAAATATCTAGCATTCAATATAATTTTCTTGTCCCTTTTCAATTAGCTCCAGTACAGAAAATCTAATTAAATCATATCTTTTAGCAGGAACCAAGAATTCAAGAGTTAAATTTTTGCATTTAATTAAAATCTCTTCATCTTGAACTGTGTTAATTTAACTGTGTGTTAATTTCCTGAAAAAATATATCCAGTAGTTTTTCTTCTGATCCACTTAGTTCCTGAATGAAATGGCTCATTTACTCTGAGTTGGCTCTTGAAGTGTATACTTAGGCTCCAACTCTGGTGACAATCTCAGAAGATGATGGGAATCATAGCTGCTTTTCTCCTCACTTCTGGATAAAATCTCTTCAGATACAGCTTGTGTTTCTTCTGGGCCCACAGAGACATCTGGATGACCATCAGGAAAGCAAAGATGCCAACTAGCAGTGAAAAAGATTTTAAGAGAAGGTGTATTCTTTCAGTGCCTGTTTCTGTAAATACAGTAGTGTTTATGGAAATATTTGCAGTCTCTTCTTTGGGCAGAGACAATTCTGCAGTTCCTCTCAGCCTGCCAGTTGCTGATATGCCATAGCCCAAGGCTCAGCCTCCACCTCAGAATTCACACAGACGATGTTCACATTTGTCAGACACACCCTGTACCACCTCTGGCTTCACCATAAATCCATGTATCACAAGGCCTCCTTGGCCATGGTGCTGTCTCAACCCATGGCCTCTCTCGACCATATTTTTAGTTTAGTTCTGAACTATAACACTTCTGTGTTTCTACCTCTGGCTGCCGACCGTGACAAGGAGCTGTGCTCTAACTCCCTGTTGTGTGAAGGGAGAGCTCGGCCCTAAAGCAAGTGGGCAGCAGCTGCCTGAGCCAGCAAATAGGCATCAAATAGGAGATCTTTTTACTGGATTTTTATTTTGAAAATTCATTATCCTTTGGTTAATGTGGAGGTGGTTAATCAGAAACAGGTGTCCAGTCAAGTTACGTCTGGGACATTTACAGCAAGGATGAGTGTGTGCATATCTTCCTGCTCCTGCCATTGGAGGGACAGCCCTGCATTGTCCCCAAACTGTCATATAATTTCCCTACCAAAGCCTAAAACACAAGAATATTTCATCTTTTCAAACAAAATTTCAATTTAATTTTTACATGATGCAGTTTAACCCACTTTTGAAATTTGTTTCTTTTTCATTTGTAAGCCTCATGGGGCTACTTCTTACAAGTAGTTTTTATAGGTTTCTATTTTGAAATGGAAAAAATAATTTAAAAGTGAATATTTTGGAGAGCTCAGTCCCAGGGACCATATTTGTGTCAGTGTTTAGGTCTCTAAGGATGCAGCAAAGTACTGAGCAAGAGTCACAAATGCTAGTAAGCAGGCTGCTCTTACGAGCATCTTGGAGGTTTATCTCATATGGCAAATTTGATGGCAATATTTCATATACTATAAACTTTTTTGGCAAATTTGAGATTCTGTTTCAAACTTACCTGGCAGAGTTTGTGTCATCACTGTGAAACTAATCCAAGACCCAGCCTGTTGCAAAGAAAAAGGCATGGTTAGTTGTATATTTTATGTAAAGCAAAATGGCACGTTTTCAAAAGCTCCCCATGGAAAAAGTGTGATACTTGTACTGGAAATGGGAGAGGAAAAATAGTAAGGAATGAACCCCCCAATGTGCTGGATGGGGTGAAGAGATGGGTGGTAAATCTTTAGATCACTGGGGAGACTCTAGTGGAGGGAAATATAGGCAAAAATCGGTGTGATAATGATGTGAGGGAAGAGGAGAGTCTGGTGAAGAAACATTTGTGGGAGCAAGGAGACTCTGACATACAGAGCACAAGGATTGATGTGCAGAGGGAACTGCTTGGGGGTGTTGCAGATTTTCTGCAGACCAAGGCTGAAGCAGTAACCACCTACCCTTTGCATACAAGCAGAAGAAAGTCATGTACCTCGTATGTATAGTTGGGACAGGACACCAGCAGGAAGAGCCACGTGAAGGGGTTGTAGGTTGGACTTGGAAAACAGGTCCTATTTCCTTGTGAAAGGGAAAAAAATAAAAAGGGGGGGGGGGGAAAATCCAGTTTCAGTACAGGGAGAGGAGAACTGAGCCTTATCACAGCCTGCCTATGTAACAGCAATGCCCTGGGCCAGTGTTCTCAGGGTACAACCTATTAGAAAAGTTTCAGTGAAGTCTTTTGAGGTAGCAAAAGCTGATTTATCCCAGTGAGAAAGAACTTAAATCAATTTTTTTGGCAGTTGCTGCTTTCAAACTGAATTAGGCCCCTTGCAAGAAATAACATAAGCAGTTCCCTAACCACAGAGCATGAAAATATTCCAGAATAGAAACTAACTTCTGTGTGTGAAGTTGACCATACTGTGGTGTTTTCTTGAATAGGGTGTTCTAGTGGGAAATTACACTATTAGTGTCTGAAAACATATTTTACTTCCCGGTGTATATTGTATAGCTTTTATTCTCATGACACAAAAATGCTGGAACTCCAACCTTTTAAGAGTATACATAAACACTGAGGCCTAAGTATTCATGAGTCTCTGTATATTTGAATATATGCATGTGCATCTTTTGCCTGAAATGAATGTGCCTAAAAACTCTGCAGTACAGTTTAGAAGTTTTTGACACTTATTTAAAATGAAATACTTTTATGTCAGTCACCAGCATGCTTTAAAGAACTTTACTGCTTAAATCCATATTTAACTTGCAGTTGTGTCTAATTAAGATAAATTTGCTATGAGTTTTGAAACAACAACAGTGTTGCTAATGTTTCCTTGTCACAATTTTTTGAAGGTATTAGACCAATGGGGTGGTTACTACTTCATCTTTCTTTATTCAGTGGATGTAGGTACATAAATTACTGTACACCAGCAGAAGATGGATAGGTTAAGGAACAGGAAGCAAAGACAGACCTGAATTGGTTTGGTGAGCTAAAGCTACGTTGATAAAGTGATTTCCAGCTTCACACATCTGCAAGACATTAAAAACATATTTTCAGTTGTGTGCCTAAAAGGCTGTGGCAATTGTGTGCAGTGCACAACCAGAACCCTCCACATTGCAACTCAGCCTCTGTATCCAGGAAATACGCATTCCAAAAACCAGCCTGAGATCTCTGTCACACACCCAAGTGTGCAGTGAGCACTGTGGGTGCAGCCTGGGGTGAAAGCCCCTGGCACAGAGCTGTGTGCAGCCAGGCCTGCAGTGGGGTTCCCACGCCCAGCACATGCAGCAGGTTTGGCCCTGGGGAAATCAGGGAGATTCCCTGGCTCTAAAGAATTCATCAAGGTGCTCTTCGAGACTTTTCCTGGGTTTAATCCAAGCTGCAAAGAAGCAGGGGAAAAGCTGACCTCTGGTTTTGTAAAGATGTCATGAGTCAATGTCCCTACCCTTCTTTCTATACGCACTTTCAAAGGTGTTCAGCAAAACAGGAAAGAATAAAAGGGTCATTTAAAAAGCAGCAGTCTCTAAAAGGCTGACTGGTTGAATGGATAGTAATTAGGGATGGATAAAGGAAGGGAGCCAGTACTGTTCCTGGTTCTGGAACTCTCTGGTTATGCTGTTTCCAGCCATAACCAACTTCTCGAAGTTGGTCTCTAACATTTAGGTATTTCAAACCTTTGGAAGAGATACCATTTCTCCCCATTTGCTTATACAGCCTGTAGTACAAGCTGATTTCAGATTTGCTTCAGGCTTTCAGTACTTCCTTCATCAGTTACAACTACTGAAAAATGAAAATCAATATTTACCCATATTTAAAATGGGAACAGGTAGGAAAATCAGTTTAAATTCCTGAAGAAGATGACCTGTCATCACAACTATGTAATTTTATGGTTTTCATTTTTCTTCTAGTCTGTGAAGAAAACTCAAATGGTGTACACAGTTCAAGCTTAGGCTGAATTGAACTTTTTTATTAATCTCTGGGTTGGAAGACTGATTTGTCCTCTCAAATTAAAAAAATGCACTGTTTGAAAAGTTGTATTTTCTTATATAATTTTCCATTCTATATTTTGAAAGGATCAAAAAAGTTTAAGAAATTAAAATAAAAAGGAAAATGTTAAAACCAAGATATGTTAAAAGTATGAAGTCACAAAAATAATATAAAAATAACTTCAATTGTCATTTTTAAGTCAATTCTGAAAGTCATCCATAACAAATTTTTGTTAAAGCTAATTGAATGAAATATATATCTTCATTTTATGTTGAAATGTGCTATTATCTGAAAGAACATTGTAGATAGAAGAATTGCTGAAGTATTTTCCCCTTTTTGGCAGAGATTTTTGTGGGATTTGTTTGGAAGGTTTAAGTCAGGTCTATTAGTAAATAGACCTGTTATTAGCTGTTATTCTGCATGGGTAGGTAGTTACAGTTCAATTCCGGGTGTCCATTTAAATTCTTATAATTCCAGCTAACTGACAATCCTCTATTATAAATACCAGATGTAAAACACTAAATAGCCAGAAAATGAAATTCCATTATAAAATACTATATCAGAAGCTATAACTCTAACCATAGCAATGGATGTAATTTTAATTTACATACTTCCAATTATGAACTGGGAACGTGATTTGTTTCTCTGATTCCTATTATTTTAAAGAAATAGATTTTGTGGTTAAAAGTGGTTTTGTAAAACACTATAGCTAATGAGGTACCCATACTATTGTGGAGCAAGAGATATTCACACATTATAATTAACCCCTACCAATTCTAAGTAAAATAAGCTAAGGGCATTTCTGCAGGGATATTTATTGGCTTACCTTTGACTCTGCAGCTGCATTCTGCTGTGATTAACTCTTATGTCCCTCTTTAGACATGTGACTGTTAATGTTCTACATTGAGAACCGTTGCTAAATTTAAGCTAGTCCTCAGTTTAACATATATAAAATATGGGGCAGCAGGGAACAGCAGAGAAAAAGCTGATGCTATTTACAATTATAAAATATTGAAGCCTGCACACTGTTTCCCCTCTTTATATTCCAAGTGTACCCTATGAGAAAAACGTCCCTGCAAAGCTTAATTTCTCTAAACATGAGAATCTTTCAGGAGGGCCTGCAGAAACCCTTCATATTACTCAGCACTTTAGTTTACAGTAGCTGCAGATGTATACACTTAAATCAGGATGTCTAATAAAGACAAGACTTAGAAGAGGATTAAAAAAAAAAAAAAGAAATCTTCCAAATATTTTATTCATATTCATTTTATTCTGGTTTTAGAAACCTGTGAAAACAGCTTCAAATTATTTTATTTTGTATGTTGATGTTTTGAATTCATTGTCTGGGAATCTGCCAACACAAGATCTGAAAGGGACAGGTCTTGAGTTTCCATGGGTAGGGAGTTCTCAAAGAGAGCTGTAAGAATTCAGAGTGCAGACCTGGTGCTGATGCAGATCTTAAGGGGATTGACATATTTTATAGCAAATACCCCCAACAGGACTCATCCCTTTGCTTGATGGCAGTATTTTCCTTCCAGGGCGCATTCCACTGATGCAGGGAAGGATGTTTCAAAGGAAAAGGAGGCTTTCTCTAAGCAGAGACTTTGATGAGAAGTAGTTTTACTGGCAGCACTGAATATTCAGACAAGCAGTCTGCTTGGATTCAAGCACCCTCGGAGCCTGGGAAGGGTGCACACAGCAAGATTCTAGGCGTACTGCTGGCTACCAGTGCCACAACCTCCTGTCTCTGCAGTACTTGCTTATTGCTTTTGGCTCTAGAGCCTCATGGAGTGTGTGATCTTCTTCATAGAAGTATTTTTCTTGTCTTTCCTGTACCTTATAAGAGCAAGAAAATATGAGAACTGCATGGACAAACCCAGAGACAAATACTGCCAAAACTGTGACCTTTATGGGTCCAAATTTACAAAAGCATTTAAATATTACTAACTAGTTTTTGAATGTTTTTCTAAATAGTGTTTGCCTGAAGGAGCCTAGACATATTACTGTCCCATTGCCTTGTCATATTTCTGAGAACTGATCTGTATCTCATTTTCAAAGAGGATGTTTTGGCTAGTGGCCCAGCAGTTCCAGAGGACAGAGAGGATATGCATTTCCATGTGAGAACTTCTTACCAAGCCTCTGTGTCACTATACAATTATATTCAAACAGCAGCTTGGGTAGTCTCAGCCATCCTTCAACAGCTGCACTTTCCCTTGGCTTATCCCATTTTGGCAAGGTTCATTTATACCGTTTTTATTAACTGTTGATATAAGTTACTCAGGGTACTCTGAACTATTGCAAAGTCTGCTTAGCATGTAATTCTTCAGTGTTTTCAAAATGACAAGTTTCGGTCTGTCTAAAAATTAGTGCTCTGACACAATTACCAGTAGTAATAATGCTGATTATGTTCTCACAGCTCTCAAATACAGTACTTCAGTTTAAACCCTGTGTATGTAAATATTAGTGGGACACTTCCTGACTGAGAAACCATAATAAATTAGTACTAAATCCAGTAAAAGTACACAAAGCTATGGACATGGACTTATATATATGTATACACACAAATGCACAGAAGCATTACTGCATTTTAGTAAATTGTGAGTTAATCCTATTCCATAATCATAAATAAAACTTAATTTTTGTACATACCAGAAAAGCAAGAGCAGCATAAGAAACTTGTTTGTGGCCAAATGCTAGAAAACAGAATGAAATTATGAATTGCATTTTACGGTATGCACATGGTTTGCTATGGGTGAAATTAATCTAGTGCTGAGGAGCAGAAATATTTCTTTTCTGACAGGCTGTGCAGAAAGATTGGATATTATCACACACAATATGAAGACAGTACAAACAGTAACAGCACTGTAGAAATGCCAGTTTTACACCACTGATCTCAAGGCAGTTTCACCCAACTGTTTTTAGTATTTGCCAGCTTCATATATCCAAGTGTTTTGTCAAAGCAGCTGGTGGTGGCGAATCCCTTGAAAAGGCAAGAAGAGTGGAGTGAAGGTCAGTGTCAAAATCGGGCCCAGAATCACAGCCTTATCCATAGACCCTTCTAATTCCACAAGCAGAAAACTCAATACATAATCTAGCCATTACATTTTTTTACTTTAGTAGTGAGGCAATAGTGAGGCTTTACTACACAGCCACTGCCTGCTTCACAGTCATGAAAAAAATACATTTAACACTTGTAAATTTTACCTGCCATCTGACTGCCCTTTCCTTTTTGCTGTTGTCCCCAGACCAGTGTGGGGCTCGACCAAGCTCATGTCCAAAGGTTTACAGCTCCCAAGCAAATCTTGGTCACAGCTGGGGGACACAAGCCATGTGTACATACCTCACTTGCCTTGACCATGTCTCATCAAGCCTTTACTTTTGAGAATTCCTTTTTCCTGGCTGGCACAGGACTCCTCTGTGGTGTAAAAGGTATTTTAGGGCAGTGGCAAGCAATTAAAAAAAATTCTCCTGGATTCTTCCTCTTTTGTGTCCTGAACAGAATTCCCCCTATAAAGAAGCTGCACTTATTAATTTGATAGCCCAGACTGCTAAAAACTGTGTCTAGAGAGCTTTCTGCTTTGTTTGCAGCATTGTTGTTAAAGCCACACCAAATCCAGCTGTCATTCAATGAATCACATCATTTTGAAATAGAACTTCTGTGCTAGTTTGAAAGAAAAGCAAGTGTCATGTAGGATAAATTTTTGATTGAAAAAACTTAGCAATTTAACTGAGTATAAATACAAATGGCAAAGCAAAGACTTTTTCCTAAAGTTCATTGACAAATCTGAGATACAGAGGAAAAGAAAGACTAAGGTATAACAAGGAAAGTGGCAGAGAAAAACCTGTGCCAATTATTCTCAAAAGAAGCAAAAGTCCAGAGAGCAAACAGAAAAAAAATTGTGAAGAAACAGCAATGCAACAATAAAATATGATAAGAGGGGAAAAATGATGGATGAAATCTGAAAATTTTAAAAACACTTTCTGTTATCAGGAGTATATGATGGATTTTTACTGGTTTCTCAGGGGGAAAAAAAAACAACCTTAATTTTCATGAAAAGTATGTATCTTTAGCAAATAAATATCACCTCCAAGAAAATGCAACTAGCTCTAGTTCTCTCTTGCATTCTTTTATATGAATGTTGTGAAGATGAGCAAAATATATTGATCTTTGTATTTTCCCTGCTTGTCCAAAATTTCGTGTTCATAAACTGGACAATGATAGACCATTGCTGAACAGGCGCAAACATTCAGTGGCACAAAGCAGAGGTGTTTCCAACACAACAATCTTCCTCCTGACAGGGAGCAAAGACTAACTTCTGACTGGATCAGTCTCATGATTTAATGTGGGACCAACTTCTTGCTTTTGGAGGATTTCAGGTCACACAGCAAAGACTTTTTCAAAGCGAGTTTGTCAGTTCTGTGTCCTACCCATACCTACATGGTGGCGTGTACCGCGGGTGGTTGATGTAGTATGCGATCCAGGATGTGAATCCCCAGTAAAAGGCACAGCCCTGGAACAGACAGATAATTTTGTTGAAAGGGCAATAAGGAAGTGCAAACTGTTACTTTATAAATTCTGCCACGTGCAAAACCCGGGTGACCACTGAAAGCCTTTGCAGTTGCTTGCGAGCCTTAGAATATAGATCTTTCTAAGATGCTATGAAGCCAGTAAAAAAAGCCAAAATTGAAGACACAGTGTAGATTTTTTGTTATTGTGTTGAATTTGTTTTACTCCTGTTGTAGGAATTGGCACTAGTTTTCTCCTTTTTTGATTTTACTGCTGAAGATCACATTTCTATGAGCTGTGCTATTACAAGTCTAGGGCTGATTAACACAGCTTAACTATAACTGTACCTGAAATTCAGCATTTCCAAGCAAGATAGAGCAAGACAGACAGAAGGCTAAACCAGGCAAAACATGAAAGAGTAAAAGTGAAACCCTGTATCTTAGCCATAACCTCCTTCACCAAAATCCTAATATTTAAAGGGTGAGTCTTTACATCACACTGAATGGGATGGAGGCATGATACAAAACAGCCAAGATAGAGCATGTAAAATAAAAGAAAAGAAGGCCTGTGAGTAATGACACACAGTTGAAATTCAGGAGGCTTTGGAAGAGCAAAGACCTGGCCAGCTCAGTATCTTCCTGCCTGAGGCCCCCTTCTATAGAAGGAGAAATGTTTTTTTCCTACTTGTAATTTGATTTTCATTTCCTTGCACAAGACTTGTCTCTTACTCTGTATTTATATTGCACCAAGGAAGCAGTGTATGATTTCTGTCAACACTGCTAGATGTTGCAGCAGCAGCTATCACCATAAAATAGCATTCAGTCTGAAAAATATCCTGGACATGACAATCAGCCCCTTGGGTAAATGAGTCAAAGTGGACATTTACATGCAGAAGCTAAAATGGACATTGATTTCAATTTATGTCCTTGGGGACGTGGTCCTGAAATCCTTCCTGTTATCTGTGTTTTCACTAAACATAATTCCTGGAGCTACAAAATAAATTAATTTTTATTTCCCTATCTTCTTCCAAGGACTGCTTTGGTATGAGGATATTCTCTCTTACACAAGATGATAAACATGCTGTCACCTTTATCATATTTTTCAGAGGAGTGTGCCCTTCCGAAAACTTGTGAACAAATAATGTCTCCAGAAGATGTCTGATGTAGTGTAAACAGTGACAGAAGCAGGCCAAGCTGCAAGAGAAAAAAAAGAAGGAAATTAAGGTAAGTGAAAGATTGTTTTTATTATTTCACAGTTAATGTCATTAAAAGAATAGGAACTAATATTCCAAAACTGCAGTCACATTAAAATTCTGGGATTTAAGATACTGTCTTAATTGAGGCATCTGGAACCAAAGATTAATGGAATCATTTTCAGTGTTATACAAAGTTGCTTGCATTTTGCAGGGAAGCAACTTATTTTTACTAGCCTTGAAATAAAAAGAGCTCCTCGAGCTCAGAATGTGATACATAGTCCTGACAAGACATTCAGACAGGACAGCTGTGTATACAGGCGTCTGACGCACTCTTCCAAAAGATGTCTCCCATGTTTTAAGGCCACCTTAATGCTCCTGTAGGATGTGTCTGACATTTAAAAACATTCTGAGTATCTTCTGTATGGTTTCCTTGTCCTTTGCCAACTCTAGTAGCTGCATGGAGGTAGTTTGTGTTTCATTTCCTTGTGGATGCAAAATGAGATTGTGTTGCTAAGTTAATCCATTCTGATGGCTTTTTTGTTGCCTGTTATAAAGAAGTGAGGCAATTGTGGTAGAAATTATAATATTGATTCTCTTTTGAGGAAGATTATGAAACAATAACAGGCATTGCTGATTTGCTTCCGAGAATGAGCTGCAGCTCACAGTGATTGAGTTTCAGAAACAAATGTCAGGAGTTATTCCTGATGGCATTTCATCTTGGTTACATTTACTGTACTACCATAGCCCATCTTGCTGCAAACCAATTATAAGACATAAATGAAAAGTGGTTTTCAGCATGTGAAATCTCAAATAATTTTATTATGCATCGTGTACGGTAGCTAAAGTCAAAGATTAAACAATTTCAAAGTAATTAAACCAGAGAGAGTTGAGCTAAGAGAATTTCGAACAATTAACGACTTATCCAAAGCCTGGAGCAAACTTCCAGCTTTGCTGGAAATTTTAAAATTAATTTGGCTTAGGATGGGGACCTCAGATGAACCAGTGAGAGAGTGGTCACTGGCAGGATTCTGCACAACCCTTGCCCATGTAAAAGAAGGTAAAGGCATTGCAGGTCCTTCTGTGCTGCCAGAATCTCTCTCCTTTTAAGCATATGCACAAGAGAAGGAAGACAAGCATCTTGCAGCTCTGGTTTTGAATTCAATTATTCTGTGTTCTCATTCCCAGCTCCACTAACTCCCTTAATGTCTCTCCAAGTGCCTGTTCCTCCATCTGTAAATGGCATTATTACTCACTATATTTCTCTGCTGTGTACCAGTTCCCCTGATCCTGCAACCACAGTGTGGAAGAAGTGTGTGGGAAAGCTGTGCAGTCCTTGAGCCCCCTAGGTCCCTGTGTGTACTCCTGTATGTGGTCCAGCTTGTGCAGGTGACAGGCTTTCCTTCTCACTTTTCTGCTAGGCACTAATCACCCAGAATGGGAAAATTCCACGGAAGGAAAGTCCCTTAAAGTGTGAAAGTTCCCAGTCTGCCTGGTGCATTCTACCACCCCTGTGGAGATGCTTCTTCTGCGTTTCTTGACCTGACTCACGACATGCACACCTGCTGAATGTTCTCCTTCTTGTGCCTAGGTGAGAGCTGGTGTGGGGGTAGTTATCTTCTGTGCTGGATGCTGATGCTGCTCATCTCAAGAGCAGGAATGTGCAATAAGAAAACTGGGAGTGGGGCACCTGAAGTCTTGTCTTTTCTGTCTAGCATGACTTTGGGTTATTACCCACCGTATTTATTATTTTATTTTCTGACTTGATGTCAAAGTATTTGGGGAAAACACTGCATCTCCATGGTGACCAGGGGCAGTGACCATTGCTGGGATTCCATTTTTGTTCAAGCTTAGGAGTGCTGCTAAAATGACAAACAGGTATTGGTAATAACTGAATCTGACACCAGGCAGGCAGCCTCAGACCCCCTGTAACATCTTCAGCTCTGGAAATGCAATCTCCATCCCTTTGGTTTCTCATGATCCGGGAAAATAATTCACACAAGTGTCACTTACTGAACCACTGGGTGGCGGAAATTCTTCCTGCTTTCCACTTGATCATAAATAGTCGAGAGGCGAATGTAAAAGAGCAAATATATGAGGAGAGGCCCGGTGTATTCTGTTAGAAAAAACTAGAAATGAAAAATAAAATAGCTGTGGCAGAGTAGAAAATTGTATCAGGAAAGGCGTGAGAAAAAGAATACCCCTACCCAAAACTCCTATTCATCCTCCAAATGACTTTTGGCTTCATGTTCAGGACTTGAATGACACATAGAGGATTCTTCTGCAGTCTCTTTAGCAGAGGAATAAAATCCATCTAGGAAATGAGAGATAGGTTTCTGTGCAGAGCATTAACCCAGTCAGGAATGCTTCATGGAAGGTGGTCAAAATCACAGTTATCTCCTCTTTATGTTTTTGGCTGTGCAATGGGGTGCCTATTTGGAATCTAAATAATGCTGAAAATCAAGGCCAAGAAACTGAAGGCAGCTTGCTCGCTGCCAGTGTTTTTTGCAATTAAGTGGTACATCAGTTAAAAGCCAACCAGGCATGACAGAAACACAGCTCTGAGTCCTGGTTGCTAGCAGAGTCATCTGGAAGGGAGGCTATTATTGTTTGAAATTTGGTGGAAGATGGAAGAGTAGGACCAGCCTGCCTGGTCCATGGTGCTTTGAGCTCTTTTTTGGTGCCTATGTGGTTCTCCTCCCTGTGCAGGCACCAGCAGAAATAGCCTGTGGTGGGCAGACCAGAAAAATTACCCTACTATGACAAAAACAAAGAAGAAATCATTTCATCTCACCATTGTCAGTCCTGCTAGGCACAACGAGCTGAGAGGAGGGGCAGGGAGAGAAGCTGAGTCATGGAGATGACATGGGCTGCCCTCAGTTTTAAGGTCTAACTTTGGTTTGGTACAGCCTGTATTGCATTTTGTTGGGGAACATTCTTAAGCCACACACAGATGGAAGAAGTAAAACGACATTAGAGTGATGAGAGATTAGATTTGATCACCTGTCCCCAGTGGACTGAATCCCAGAATAAAATGGAAGTGGTGTAGTCCTACATGTTTACAAGGACTGGCAAATTGTAACTCAAGTGCCTATCATTGCTTCAGGGAGAAAGATTTATAACTGATGGGTTATTTGGCTTTATGGTGTCTATTGGCGCTGCTGTAGAATTGTAATGAATAAACACCTGTGGATTAAGGAAGCAACACTGACTTAGACTACCTTCCTCAAAGCTAGTATTTGGCCCCGCAGCAGGCTGTTCTTCTAATCGCTCTTCAGAACGTTGAAAGAGAAAGGTTTTCCTGAAGAAATATCTGGCAATTAGGTTCCCTTTTCCTCTGTTACAGGGGGAAACCTTTTGAAATGCTATCCTTTTATAGAAGGACAGTCTCCAAAAGTAACAACAGACTTAAGTGTTCTCTACCAGGGGAACATCAAATTCCCTTTTGTTCCAAGTGACATCATGACTCCTGAGCTCCATTTAGGCTCTGCATGATCCCAAAAGCAGGTGTGTGTGTGTGTATGTGTGTTTGTGTGTGTATAAAAAAGATTTCATATAGGAGTCCAAGAGCACTCGTTGTGGAATACCTCACAGCCAAGGACTTATTAGAATTTTGTCCTAATAGCAGTTGTATGGGTCTTTTCCAAAATGTGAGCCCACTGTGTCTGGCACTCTGTAAACACTGTAAGGAATAGCCTCTGCTATTTAAACCTAACACACTAAATCTAGACTATGGTGGTATAGGGGACAGAGGCACAGGTAATGTGGTCTGGGCAGGTCAGGGGAAGAGCCTAGAAAGAGCTGCTTTCTTTGGTGTAGCTTTTTCTCTCAGTCATGAGCTGCACCACAAAGTGCATCTGTCACTGCCAGCTTTCAACAGCTGTTTGGCATGAGCACATTACAAAGCTGCCAGGAAAAGTTTGGCAGGACCTAGCACCAAGTTGTGCTTATTTGTCACTGCACCAAGTGTTCCTCCCTTACCCCCTGACTGATTGCAGATGCTGAAAGGAGAAGGAGAGTTTCAAGGTTTAGTAAAAAATCCAGTCTGTCTTTAAAAGCCAGAGATCCAGACACAAGATAACTGAATCCTTGTGATGGGCTTTGAGGTAGGAAGGGGGGATGCAGCAGTGCAATTCAGTTGAGAGCACTGACAGTAGCTCTTGAGCTGGAGTTTGTGGAGGTGAGCAGCATCAAGATGCTCAGGGTGTGCCCTGGTGGCCAAGAAGGCAAATGGCCCCGGCCTATGTCAGGAATAGTGTGACCAGCAGGAGCAAGGAGGTCATTCTTCTCCTGTACTTGGCATTGGTGAGGCCACACCTTGAGTGCTGTGTCCAGTTCTGTCCCCTCAGTTTAGGAAGAACCTTGAGACACTTGAGCATGTCCAGAGGAGGCAACGAGGCTGGAGAGGGGCTTGGAACACAAACCCTGTGAGGAATGACTGAGGGAGCTGGGGTTGGTTAGCCTGGAGAAAAGGAGACTCAGAGGTGACCTCATCACTCTCTACAACTCCCTGAAAGGTGGTTGTAGTCTTGGTCTGGTCCTGGTCTCTTTCACCAGGCAGCAACTGACAGAACCAGAGGACACAGTCTCAAGCTGCACCAAGGGAAATAGTTCGGATATTAGGAAAAAGTTTTTAATGGAACGAGTTATAAATTACTGGAATGTTCTGCCTGGGGAGATGATGGAGTCACCATCCCTGGATGTGTTTTAAAAAAGACTGGATGTGGCACTCAGTGCCATGGTTTAGTTGAGGTGTTTGGGCATGGGTTGAACTCGACAATGTTGAAGGTCTCTTCCAACCCAGTGATTCTGTGTGATTCTGTGATTCTGTGGAACAGGGCTCAATCTTGTTTGTGTGTCAGTTGCATCACTCATGTGGAGGGAGGTGGTGCAGGGTCAGCCATGAGATTTACAATTTAACTGGGCACTGTCTGGCAGGCAGGACTGTATTTGCCTTTGTCATAACTGAGTCACATAGCTAAGATCAGTAACATTCTGTTTTAGAGGATGAGGCTCAATTTGCTGTAGTAGTTTTTGTTGTAGTTTAGTTTAGGTAAGTTTCAGACTCCTTCCTTCTGTTGCATCTCCTGTGTTGTGATCACTGCTCTCATTCTCTGGCCCATTGATTTTAAATTTGTCTTAAATGAAAAATGAGTTCCAGAAAGGCAGGCAGAGAAACTGCTAAAAATTCCCATGGGTTCAAGCAGGTGAAAGGGAAAGTAGTCTAAATTAACACAACATTACAATTATTGCTTCTACCCACTGGCAATCAAGGGCAAACACCATTCTTTTACTATTGATTCTCAATGATTTTATGCAACTAAGCCTAACTAGTATCTTCATACTCATCCTATAGCTGACTAATTGCTGGGCTTGGAGAGTTATTAGTTGTGTCTAGGACGAGTTCAACCCATCATTTTTATAGGTGCTCTAAATTAGAAATACCTGCTGACATATTCTGCCAAAATAGTAATCACATTTTAAACAAAGGCCTGAAAGTAATAACACTGTAGCTTGTTGTTTCTGAAAAAAAGAAATATCATTTTATAAAAAAAGAAAAAGTGATAATTTAAAACACAGAGCACATTTATCTTGTAGAAATATAAAAAGAAAAAAGAAAACAAACAAACAAAAACAAAAATACCAAACCCTAATATTTAGAAGAAAATTATTTTTTCTTTACCATCTCGTGGTCTTGCCTAGATCATTTTGATTTCTTGGGTGCAACCAAATATAGTGATCCATAATAAACACAAATATCTTTTCATGGAGGAGCGGTGTGTCTCTAAACAATGAGCACAGCTCAATAAGATTTAACTGTTGAGCTCATCATTAACACCCTGAAGAGAGAAAACGGAGATTGCTTTTTTTTTTCCCCACATGTGTACACACTTCTTCATATCTTGCACAGTGTCCAGTTCTCTTACCTTCCTTCTCTCCTCTCCAGTGTCTGACATGATATACTTTGTAGACCTCTTATTCTCAGTAACAAAGAGAAAGTGCTCTTAAATGAAACTATTCTGGAATCAAAACTCTCCCCAGCAGGGTCTCCATACAGGGTGCTAAAACCAAGCTTCCTTCACCATTTCAGTTATCAGGTCCTCAAACTGACTCAGTAACACCTAAATAGGAAATATCTACAACGTAAACATCAAAACTAAGCTCTGAAACCAGTCAAAAAAGAGCTAAATAGGAGTTTCCATTATCCAAGAGATGATGGAACAAAAGGTAAAACAGTACAGGAGAGCTAATGTGCAAATCAGCAAAGCATCTCATCTTGCATAAGTCAGATTGTACCTCCTTCTTTTATCTCTTATTCAGCACATCGTGCCAGGAACACCTTGCTGAACAGAGTGACAGCCAGGAATTCAAATCCCAGACCTTGTGAGGCAGAGGGTATATTTAGGGAGGTATGAATGCAGCAGATATGAAAGGAGCTCTTTAAAGATTTTTTGAAGGATTTTCTGGCTGGTAGGGGTGACATAGTGCCTGACACTGTCCCAGTAGGTCTTCTAAAAAAGTGGAAAGGATTTTGATGTGAGTTAAAGTACCATGTTTACTGGTTGGGAAAAGGCAGAACAGGACAAAAGGAAGTTGCAAACACGGGCAGTGGAGTGGAAGGAGTCTGAAAAAAGTCCAACCAAATCTTTATAAATGAACAGCCCACATAGTAGTATCCTCACATGAGGGCATCAGCTAATTCCTCTCTGTAATGTTTATGACCTGCCCTTTCTGTAATATCACACAACACACCCTATCTTGTTGCCTTTTGGCATAGTCTCACATTATCTCATTTATGACAAGCAGCAGAGCTGAGGAAAGGCCATACAGCCTCTCCCACACTGATCTCTTCCTGCAGCTCTTTCCATGCCATGTAGGGCCAGTTTCCCAGCCACTGGTACTGCCTGTGATGTTTTCCACTGCCCACAGGATGTCTGGATGGAAGCAGAGAGCATGGAATGAGGGTAATACCTGCAGTCAGAACAATGACTTTGGGTCACTGTCTGTAGTCCACAGCACAAGAGACAAAACAGCTCCAGCATGTCCTGGGTAACACTGATGGAAAAGCAGCTGCAGTATATAAATTATCTAATGGACAGGGCTTAGTTTCTCTGATAAATGTGAGACA